ATTATAAAATGTTAGTTTTGTAATTCAAAAAATATGTAATAGAATTGGAGAGGTGGAGGGAGAAAATGTGGCGGTGGAGGGAGTAACACCCCTTTTTTTAATGACAAACGATTTAGTATATGAATATTTTTTCAACAACTCACCTCAATCAGAACCAAACTTTTTGAATTGAACCAAATTAACAACTCTAATTAAAGGATTGGATTTCAAACATCATTCATCCAAATAAGATTTCAAACACGAAATATATATAAAAACACACACACACACACATATATATATATATATATATATATATATATATATATATAATATTTTCCACATTTTTATTTACATGTATTTTTTCTTGAAAAAAATATTTTATTTTTTATTTTTGAATTAGGTTTAAATTATTCCTAATGATAATTCTAATTAATGAAATTTATTAAGATAAATATAAAAAATTAGTTTACCTTTTTCCAATTTTACTCATTTAGACTTTTAGCATCAAACCTTTATTTACAAATTAATTTAAACTCACATATAAGTTTTTAATTATTCATATCTTATCTTAATGAACATATAAAACAGAAAAAACAAACAAACTATATTGTTCTTATTTTATTCTTAAATGAATATATATAACATTTTTAATTACTTTGATTTCAACAAAAAAAAAAAGAGAATTGCTAAATATACGAAAGAAGTTAATTTGAAAATGAGACAATAGTTGAAATTATCTTTTTGTACATTAAACGAAAAATCATTTACATTTTCTTTATATATGTACAAGAATTGGATATGCGTGAGGAAGAAAATTACAGATTACAGAACAAAGAATATTGAATCCCGAAGATGTAAGGAGACTAGCTAACATTACTTCTTCATGGTATTTCGAACGTCCACGCCATTTTTCTTTTTCGATTTCTCTGTTTTCCTCTTCACTGCCCCTTTTTCTTCTTGGAATGAGAACACGGATTTTAAGTCGAACCCTTCTTTTCACGAAGAATTTCCACCAATGGATGAACTGCTAATGCTCAACATCTTTTTCATTTTTTGTTTATGCTAAAAGAACAAAAGTTGGTATAACAAATTAAGAATGCACATGCATGGTTAAATAGTTTAAATACGAGTACTTCATTATCATTTAAACCAAGCGTTATTAAATTTTTAAGAAGTTTGGCAAAACCACTCGAGGTAAAAAAATGCTGACCATTGCAAGAAGGAGTAATTACAACAACGTGCATGTCAGAGTTGTTAGGAGGTAATTGCAAACGAAGGGGATGAAGTTCGGCGTTGAATGGGTTGCGGCAGCACACAACAATATCATCATGCCCTGTCTCCTCCTTTAACTTCTCCTTCAAATCCTCCACGCTACTTCCTTGGAACGAGAAGAATTTTTCTTCACTCTCATCAGAAGCATCTCCATGTTCCACGTTATAAAATACAATCCTTCCATCTTTTATCGGTGACTTGGCCTCCACAAAATCTTCACCCTGCATAAAACCGAACCCATTATAAACCATGGCTCCTGGTTCTAAATCATTAATTTGATTACTATTAAGATTAAATAGATTTTTAGACCTGATTTGAAGGAGACTTGAGATATATACTGAAGGAGGCATCATCCGGTGGAGAATGAGAAGGAGATTCTAAGACGGGAGGATGGAGCGAAATCGGTTTGGGAGGTTGTTGTGGTCGAAGCTGTACGAGGTCGACATCCCAGAGGATCCAATTTGTGGTTGACGTGCGATGCGGGATATCGTGGGTGATAGAATTTTTCCAGGGTGGTAAGCCTTTGTTGGCACGAAGAAACTGTCCATAACGTGTTTTAAGCCTGACGTAGGAACCTTCTCTTACGGGTTCCCAGTCCAAAGAAGAGTTTAACCTTGTGGGAAGGGTCTGGATGACTTTCTTACCTGTGGCGCCTAACAAAAACGGCATGTTGGAGGCTGTTAAGTATTTTTCATAGCAACTCTTGAGTCTTATCCAGTTGGTACCCTGGACGATCTCCACGCTCCATTTAGCATTTTTGTATATCCCATTTCGATCTTGGTAAACGCCCTCTTTGTCAGTGTCTGCCAACAGATATTTGTCATGGCGACTCCTCAGACGCACCACCTGTGCCTTTTCGAACACCTCCATTCCACTTTAATTTCTCTGCCTCTTCTTCTCCACTTTCCTACTTTCTAATTCGTTTATTAGGCGCACATTAAAAGGAGCGACTTTTAGGATGTTTGTTTTGCATGTTACTTATGAATGATGGGATTTTACGGGTAAAATTAGACTGCAAAACTAAACGAGTGGCTGTCAAAAACTAGTTTTCGTTACTTGGATTTAACTCATCAACCATGCAAATTTTTTAAATTAATTTTCGACTACTTTGGATGGCTTTTGCTTTAAAAAGTATCAACCATCAAGTAATTGATAGGATGTTTCAATTTTTAGTGGCACCAACTTTGATTGTTCCCCTATATTTTTCTAAGAAAAAGTTAACAGTTAGATTTTCATAATTTGTTTTCTTAACCTAAACCCTAAACTTATATATAAATATTGTTTTAGAATAAAGCAAAACGACAAACAACTAACGCAATTTGTTTTATTAAAGATAATTTGTATATTCATATGATTTTGTTTTAAAAAATTATTTTAAGTTACAACTCAATTATAATATAAGTTTATGCTGTTATTTGTTAATACACACTCCTCTGATCCTTTTTAATTATGTTTTTTTTATATTTAAATTACAGTAATTATCGTTCTATATCAAGCATACCTTAATTTACTTATTTTAATTGAGATGAGAAAACAATGATTTATTCAAACAAAAATAATATATGATTTTTCTGTGTAAAAAAGGTGCCAAAATAATAAGGATATTATTGAAAAAAATTAAGAGATTTATTTATACACCGTATGGTCATACAATCGCTCAATAAGAACCGATACAATGAGAAGGATATGACGATGTGATCAGCTAAACGGTCTGCAAAACAAGTAGCTAGATTAGAGGTAAGTATTACTTAGTAGGTTTTGGATCAGGATTGTGTCGTAATTAAGGTTTGTAACTCATCTAAAAAATTATTAATAGAGGTCAAAGGTAAGATATAGGTAATCACATCTATTATAAATTTAAGACTTTACTCTCATTATCGTTCAAACTAAGTATCAGATTATCTTTGACAGGTATCCCCAAACGATTTGGAGTATTGACAAGAAATGAATTTGACAAAAGGTGAAAAGAGTTATCCGAGCAAGCAAAGAACAAAGTGTGAAAGTGTGTTATTGGGAGTTACTCATCTGATAGAGATCTTCACAAATCTCTTCTTCTGATCTAATAGAGATATTCTTTGCTTCTACTGTAACTCAATATACTTTTACTTGAATTCTTTCACAATTATACTTTTCTGTGGAGATCTTTCGTTTCTCTTTTATCAAACACTTACACGATCCTACACCCAAAACAATTTAAAATCACAAAAATTAATAGTTTTATTATTTGTGTAATCAAAATTTAAACCTTACATATATAATAAAAAAATAGAAGAGTGTATATATATATAAATTTGTGTAAAGAATTATTGCTAGTATAAGCAATTAAGGAGATAAGAAAAAAATGGACAAATAAATTTTTAGTCAGAAGTTAGAAATAAATAGATATTTATAACACATGTAATTATTATTTTTTCATTACATGTACATTGAGTATGTTATTGTACATGTTTAATAACATTTTAATGATATTGAAATGTTTTGAAGTAGATGGTGTTACCAAAACATCAACCATATTAAAAAGAGATATTTTTTCCATTGATTATTACATTGTTGTATGTAGCTAGCATCGTCATATACTTCCATTTGAAACTATACATCACACTTTAAAACAGTTGTAGGATGTGATTTTCATCATCATCAATTCATAATTGACGTTGAAAATTAGTGCAAATAGCAAGATAGATGACGATCACTACAAGAAAAATTACTATTACATACCGCCAAAATCCGTATATAACATCAAAAATCCGTATATAAAATGATTTTACATACGAATTATATACGGACAAAAATCCGTATATAAAAAAGGCGTAGCTAAGTTACATACGGAAAAATCCGTATATAAATTACATACGGATAAATCAGTATGTAATTTACATACGGATATTACATACGAATAAATCCGTATGTAATTTACATACGGATATTACATACGGATAAATCCGTATGTAATTATATAACATATTTAATTAGATTGGTTTTTTGTAATAGTTATATAATTAATATTAAAATTTTTAGACATTAAAACTTCTCATAAAATTTTAAATAATTACTACCAGATTATAAATGTTAAGAATTTATAATATATAATTGTGTTGAAAATCAAATAATTAAAACATGAAAATTTTATTTGAATACTCTATAAAGAGAGTTCAAAGAAATAAATACAACTACTTAATATTAATATCTCATAACACTCAAATTTAACTTTTACAATAATTTAAATCTAAAACAAACAGGTCCTTGTATAACATAGAGTTGAATATTAACTTAAACTATAATTTACACCTAAAACAAAATCAAGTCCTGACTTAGAAAGAACTCCAAAGCAATCGCTGATATCTCTGCAAATGTTGCACATATAATTATTGGGTGGAAGACCTTTTTCAAGTTTGATGGCAATCTGAAAACAAAGGGATAAGAAAAGGCATAATTATAGTTAGTTCTAATAAAATGCAAATACAATGTTGCATGACAATATAACATTTTTGGTCCATCTAAATGAGCCATCAAAGCAATCAGCCATAGAGGTTGCTAATGTTGTGAAGAATCAAGCCAAAGAACTTGAGTAGGCATTATCTTTCTATAATAGGTACATTATCTGAATATTCTTGCTTTGAGAAAACCTTAACCGTAACACCCTAAAGAAACATGAATATATTTTTGTCTGATGCACAAAGTAAATTTTAATTGAACACTTTAAAAAAGGACTTTAAATGATAGTAATTTGAATTGCAACATAACCAATAGGGTAATGTATACAAAAAACTTAAACATGTTAAGGAAGATGAAATTTAAAACAGAAATTACATGAAGAGGAAAGAACATACCAATCCATACTACAAAGCATGATATACACAGTTCCACAAGATCCTGCAAACCAACAATACAAAGCTAAATAAAAAACACTCAAGTTGATATAGCATGCCAATGGACAATAACTACTTTTCACATCAAATTAAGGTGATGGGCCTAATAAAGNGATAATTTTATGGTATAAAATGATTAACCATCTTTTTGCATTTAATATATTAAGTTATGAAGACAAAAAAAGATTAAATATACTTTTAATTATTAAATTTTAATATAAAATTAAAATTTATTTATATTTTAAATTTTGATACAGTTTAACTTTTATATCTAGTTTTTATAAACAGTGTTAATTTTTTTAAAGGATTAAATGATATTTCATATTTACATTAATAACTTACTAAAAGTATTTATAATTAATTAAAAAGCAATTTACAGTAATAACAAAATATAGTTACGTGTAAAAAATAATGGTAACAAAAATGTAACTATCCACTTTACATATTCACCTAGCCCTACCCATCTTATCTTAGAAGTTTAATCATCAACCCCAATTGATGGATCACCTACAAAATGTGACACCTAGATAGCAAATATACTTGGAGTGTGTACTATAACTATAGTTGTATGTTGTGATATTGTTCTCTCTCTATCCAGGGTGGCCTGACACGTGAGCAGCTCATTTCGTGAAACCGTAGACGATAAATTATATAATGAACAATTTTTCACGTTTTTCTTTCCATTTTATTTCATAGCCTATTATTATTTTCTTTCTACCTTATTTTACTTTTTCACTTCTTACACCTATCTCATCTTATTAATATATAACTATTTTAAAATTTCACTTTTAAAGAAATTAATATGAAAAACATTAGATTGTGTTAAAACGATTTTAAATATATAGTTTAAGTTTATCCTTAACTTTATTCTTAAAACAAAATAGTGGATGAATAATTAACGTACCAATTAGTATGTTGTTATTAGCTCAAATCCCGCTTCTCTTCATATTATTGTTATTATTCCCATTATTATTTTTTTAAAAAAATTATTTTGATTCTTTATTTCTTTCTTTATTAATTATGAATATAAAATAATAGCTATAACTTAACGACTTTTCAAACCACATGTCTTTTTTATATATTGTAGAGAAAAAGTAGACACTTCTCATTAATAATGCAATAATCTAAATCAAAGAAAATATGTGTAATTTTTCTGTCCAAAAATTAAAGATGGTGATTTTTAATTTTATTTCAATGTATTTAATATTAAATTATTTTATTTTTAAAATTAAAGCATCAATAAACAAGTTACTATCATCCCATCGAACTTGTCCATCTACCATCATCGTGATCGAGTGAAGGTGGTCGTGACTCTCACCCTCTCTCATCACTCACCAACATCTTTTCTTCTCCTTCTTCTTCTTCTTCTCAGACTCTGTTCAATAATCTCTGACATAGGCATCAAAATTCCCAGACCCAAACAATGAAGAAACTAAAACATTATTACCATCAACAACATCATCAACAACAACGAAAGTACATTGTCCCAGTAATCACCATCGTCTCCTTCATCTCCCTCATCTCCCTCCTCCTCTTCGCCCTCAGACTAACCTCCCCCGACGCCTTCCTCATCTTCCCCTTCCCCCTCTCCGCCGTCATCTCTGCCCCATCCCCCTTCGTCGAGTCCAAGCTTCACGCTCTTCCACTCCCTCCCCCATCCCCTCTTCCCCCCGTCCTCGCCTACCTAATCTCCGCCTCCGCCGGCGACGCCCCTGCCCTCCTCCGAGCCCTATCCGCCCTCTACCATCCCCGCAACCGCTACATCCTCCACCTCGACCGCCATTCCTCCCCCGAGGAACGCCACCTCCTTGCCGCCCACATCGAACGCCACCCCACCTTCCGACACTTCCGCAACGTCCGCCTTATCTCCAAAGCCAACCTCATCACCTACCGCGGCCCCACCATGGTCGCCAACACCCTCCACGCTGCCGCCATCGCCCTCTCCGACACCCATTACTGGGATTGGTTCATCAACCTCAGCGCCTCCGATTACCCCCTCGT